AATCTCAGTCACACACAGTAGCCCAAAGATAATGAAGATGAAGAAAAAAACAAAGCACAAAAAGTAGAAAATCTCAGACCAAATCGCAGAAAAAATCAAGTCACCGAACCTAAGCTCAGTCGCCAGAGCCAAATCGCAGTCGCCAGAAAATTGCAAAGAAGACACAAAGCAAATTCGAAGGAAGAAGTCGCACAACAGAGACGTAAAGTCACAGAACAGAGTGAAGAAAGGAAAAAGTTGCAATGTGGAGTTTTTAGGATTTTAGGGTTCCAACTCCTTTAACGAAGTCAGGTTGGGTCGCGGGTCATTGGCCCAAAAGGTCTTCTTCTCTACGCGTCAGGATCGTGCGTTTTCAACGATTTTACGACCCAACAAGCACGATCCCACCGATCCTACCATTTCGTGTTCCTAGCACCGATTCAGCACGGAGGTGTGGCTAGAGATCGTAGAATTGTACAATTCTACAATCCAAAACACGATTTTGACTACCTTGAGATGAACCTTTCTTGACTTATACTCTTGTCCAATCTACACATCTTGTTGTACCTCTAGCTCCTATTGATACAGGTTTTAAGTTCTTTAAGCAAACATACTATCGCCGGCCGAAACAGCCTTCAAATGATGCACCTCCCATGGCTAATGATATTCAAAATGATACTCAACCTCTACTATTATCTCCTCGAGTGTCAATAGATCTTATGTCTGACCTTGACCTTCCTATTGCTATCTGTAAAGCTGGAGGTAGACTTATTAACTGAGACCAGACTAAAATGAGCTAAACCATGTGAGACACCTATGGAGTTAGGAGTGAAATTGACAACAGATGGAGTTCCTTTTGCAGATCCACAGAAATACAGAAGATTAGTAGGTAAGCTAAATTACTTGACTGTCACAAGCACGGTAGTTAGTATCGCACGAAACGTGATACGAATCTACCGATTCGATACGAATCTACCGATTCGATACGAATCTTTGCGGCAGCGATACATATCAAACCAAGTATCGTTTTAAATTTGGAATCACATTACGAATCGCATGTATCGACCAAATCGCATGTTGAGACGCGATTCAGTGCACGGCGCACGATTCAAGTGTAACTCGGGTCTTGCAAAAAAAGGGTCGGGTCGGCGCGACCCAAAACAGTAAAAACCCTAAAAAAAAAAAAAATTTTAAATTTTTTTTTACAGAACTGCCAATTTTTACTCCAATTTTTTTCTGTTGGTACACCCACTATAAAATATTAAAAGGAAACCCTATTTTCTTATTTCCTTTTCATTCCCGCTCTTTTCTTTTCTCTTTTCTCTACGTACAGAGTTTAATATTCATCATATTCTCAATCCTTCTCACAACTTCTGGTCCCCTCTCCCTCTGCCACGGTTCCTTTTTTTTTATTTGGCTTCTCCTCTCTTTTTTACTTGCTGTTTGCTATTTGGGGAGACAAATGGGTCCTACAAAAAAAACAAAAGAAAGTGATATCACATGGAAACATTGTGAAAGTGTCCCTCCGCACAGGCTATTAGTAAAATGCAAATATTGTTCTCATTCTTGTTGGGGTGGAGTTGCAAGGATGAAACATCATTTAGCTGGAACAAGGACAAATGTAAGTGCTTGTACAAGTGTTCCCGATGAGGTAAAGGAGATATTCATCAAGCTATTGGAAGAGAAAGAAAAGAAAAAAGATGAAAATAGCTTGGAGTTTTTTGAAGAAGCTGAGACTCAGGATGTAAGTGGTCATCAAAAGAAAAGTATGGATTCTTTTGTCAACAAAGAAAATGGAGGGACATCTAAAAATTTGAAGCAAACAACAATGAATACAATGTTTAAAGATAGAGATGTTGTCATTCAAGAAATTTGCAAATGCATTTATGCTAATGCCTTACCATTTAATTTGGTTAGAAGCCTCCATTTTATTCAAATGGTGAAAGCTGTTGGAGAATTTGGCAAGGGTTTAAAACCTCCTACTTATCATGAAGTCAGAGTCTCTTTTTTGAAGAAAGCAGTTGATAGCATCCATCAAAATTTGGAGAAATACAAAAGTGAATGGGAGAAATGGGGCTGCACTTTGATGTGTGATGGTTGGACAGATGGGAAAGGAAGGTCACTTACTAATTTTCTTGTTAACAGTCCTAGTGGAACTGTTTTTCTAAAATCTATTGATACTAGTGATGTAATTAAGGATGCCAAGCAAATGTTTGAATTATTGGACAACATGGTAGATGAAATTGGGGAAGAAAATATAGTGCAAGTTGTAACAGATGGTGCTTCTAATCTTGTGGCAGCAGGAAAAATATTAGAAGAGAAGAGAACTAAATTATTTTGGTCACCTTGTGCAGCCCATTGCCTTGATTTAGTGCTAGAGGATATTGGAGAGCTTCCAATTTTCTATGCTACCATTACAAATGCAAAGAAAATCACAACTTACATATATAGGCATACATGGGTCCTTAATTTGTACAGAAAGCATTCCAAGGGAAGGGAGTTAGCTAGACCAGCCGTAACAAGGTTTGCAACTACTTATCTCACATTAAATTGCATTATGCAACAAAAGAATGCTCTTAGATCTATGTTTGCTTCAGAAGAGTTTGCTTCTAGTTCTTATGCTAATAGAGTTGAGGCTAAGCAAGTGATGAGCATAGTGTTGAGTGATAATAAATTTTGGAAATCCATCAAATATTGTTTAAAGTGTGTAATTCCACTTGTGAAAGTACTTAGACTTGTAGATGGTGATTCAAAACCAGCCATGCCATATATTTATGAAGCAATGGATAGAGCCAAAGAGCAAATTGCTGAAAATTTCCAAAAGAAAGAGTCAAGGTATAAGAAAGTGTGGAAGATCATTGATACTAGGTGGAATTTACAAATACATAGACCTCTCCATGCAGCAGCATATTATCTCAATCCTAGGTAAGTAAACATTCTTAATATCTTAAATTTCATTTAGTAGCCTATTCATCCTGACCAATTTTTATTGTTTGGTTAGGTTCCATTATGACAAAAACTTTAATCCAGATAGTGAGGTTTTGTATGGTTTATATGAAACTATTGAAAGAATGGTTTCAGATAGAAGGACAAGATTTTTGATTGATCAACAACTTGAGAAGTTTAAGTCAGCCAAAGGATTGTTTGGAATGAATATGGCAATAGACACTAGAGACAAGAAGCAACCCGGTAACTCTTCAATCTTGATACTTTGTTAATTTTACAAATAATTATAAACCAATAAGTAATATAATATACTTTGCTAATTGTTTATACATATTTTGTTTTGAATTTTAATAGCTCTTTGGTGGGAGAGTTATGGTGGAGATGGTAAAGAGTTGCAAAAGGTAGCCATGAGAATTTTGAGTCTTACATGTAGTGCAACAGGATGTGAAAGGAATTGGAGTACATTTGATCAAGTGCATACTAAAAGAAGAAATCGTTTGGAACAACAAAGACTAAATGCACTTGTGTTTGTTAAATATAACCTACAATTAGAGATGAGACAAAAGTGTAGAGAAGAGAGGGGAGAGACTTATGATCCCATATGCTTATCCGATATTGAATCAGATGATGAATGGATTGTTGAAAAAGAGGATCCATGTTTACCAAATGATGCTTCATGGATGGATATACATGAGTGCTTTACTTTTGAAGAGGGAGCTTCAAGTAAGAAAAGAAAAAGAGATATTTGTGCTGATTTAGAATTAGAACTTGAACAAAAAATACTAAAAATTTATTTACTCAAATACATATTGTCATGTTTGTTCCATTATTTTGGTTTTATAGGTCCAAGAAACTTAAATGCCAAAGCTGATAAGAAGGAAAAATCTATAATAGAAGATGATAATGAAATTGAAGGCATTATTAGAGATGGGGTGGAAGAAGAACTTTTGATTTTGGAAGATGAAGAGGATGAACTAAGTGACATAGATCTTGGAGATGATGAATGATCATATCCATTCAAACTTTTACTATAGTGACTTGTTGTCATTTTTTGTTTATCTTTTTGAAAGACTTTATGTTGAATTTGAGCAGTCACTGTTTTTGATAATGTGACTGAGTGTTATGATTTGAATCTTAGTTTGCTTACAAGTATATGTCACATTATTAGTGATATATTATTTACTTCAAAATATTAATATATATCTATTTCTATATGTTAGAATATTCTTATATTTATATTTTTTATGTTTTAAATTATTGATCTTGAATCTTACGATTCAAAATACGATTCGATTCACGATTCAAAAAATAGGTCATACGATTCACAATTTGAATCCCGATTTAACTACCTTGGTCACAAGGCCAGATATTGCTTTTCCAGTGAGTATTTAGTCAGTTTATGTCATCTCTAACGGATACTCATTAGGAAGCACTAATTTGCACTGTAAAGTATTTGAAGAAAGCACCAGGAAAAGGAATTGTTTACAAAGATCATGGACATGCATAGATAGAGGCGTTTTTTTATGCTGATTGGGCAGGATCTATGGACAGAAAATCTACTACCGGATACTGTGTGTTCTTAGGAGGTAATTTAATTTCGTGGAAAAGTAAGAGGCAAAACGTCGTATCAAGATCGAGTGCGGAATCAGAATATAGGGCGATGGCTCAGACTACTTGTGAGTTAATGTGGTTGAAACATATGTTGGAAGAGATACGATTTGGTTCTACTAAGCCTATACAAATTTGGTGTGATAACTAGGTAGCGATACACATTGCCTCAAATCCGTTTTTTCATGAATGAACGAGACATATTGAGATAAACTATCACTTTATTCGAGAAAAAGTTCAGCAGAAGCTTATATTCATCTCTCATGTTACATATGTATCCTTATAAATATAAGGGTCTGTACACATTGTAGAGAATCCTAATTCCAACACTCTAATTTGTCTCTCTCTTTCTATGCTCTCTCTCTCTTAATTCTACAATTTTGGAATAACTATTAAAACAAATAAACAAAATTGTAGCCAGAAACATATTTTCCCCCTAGAGAAATTAAAAATAAAAAAAAACTAACCTAAACCACGAAGCACGTCTCCTTGGGCACCTTTTAATGTCTTTCCCTGTTCTACGGTGATATTCATGGCAAGCTTATCCTGAAATAAGAAAAAGTATTCCTGTCATTGTTTGATAAACAGTATATCTGTTTGAATAACAACATCCTTACAATATCTCTGCGGATATGCTCCAGAAATTTAAACATAATACGTTGACGAGTCGTGATAGGTGTGTTTTTCCATGAAGGAAAAGCTTGCTTGGCTGCACTAACCGCAGCTTTAAACTCTTCATATGTAGGTAAAGGAACTTGAGATACAACTTCTTGTGTTGCCTGAGTAAAGATAAATATTCAAAATTATGTTTGATACAAACCATCACATGATAAGAAAATTCAAACAAATACCATGAAAGAACATATCAGCTTACAGGATTTAAAACATCAACGATTACAGAACCTTGAGAATCAACAAATTTACCCCCAATAAAATTTGGGACCTTCATCTTCATACCAATAAAAATAAAGTCATAAATTCACTGCTTGAAAATTACAATGAACAAGAAAGAGAAAGATAAATCTATAAACCATATACAGAGGTAAACATATTGTCCTGGGCTTTAAACCCTACCAACTGGTAGTTGTGGTTTAATGAACCCTCAGCTTCAGATGAATTATTGTTCTCAATAGGGATAGATCTATTTGGCCTCCATGATTTAAAAGTTTTCTCTGCAAAATACAGTTAAGCGTAGTTATGATGGAAGTTTAGTTTTCTTACAACCATTACAACAGGGAAGTAAATAAGAACTAGGGTAAATACAATTAGTAACATTGCACTCAAGTATCAAATACTCCACTACATGGTTGTCGAATCGGGACTCAAATCATGAATTGGAAGGGTTCTTTTCCATATCGTGAATTGTAAGATTCACAATCAATAATTAAAATAACATATATAACTAACAAAGTAATATAAAAGCACAATTTCATTATCAATAATTAAAAGGCACAAAACTAAGAACATTTTAAGATAAAGAAACATTTATATATTACCATTTGGAAGTCAACCATATGCATATAGCTAACGAGTGTCATATACACTTCAAAATAACACAGCAAAAAGGCAGCAATCAAAGTAGAGAAATTCCAGAATAAGACAGGGAACCAGCAGACAATATTATGAATTAAGAGAAATAAGATAGAAATAGAAATAAGGCAGCACAAAGTTTGTGTTCTGCAGGAGGGGGGGTCTCAACACTCAGCAGCAAAATGTGGAGGACCAGCCGACCAGCCAAATGCATTGAAAGTATGAGAAGCAGGGAGTACAAAGCATGTGCTGTGTGGAGTAAAAGGTAGAAGGTGGAGAAATTAAAAAAATTAGTTTCCTTTTTGTTTAATATTTGGTCTGGGTATCAATAGAGAGTAAGAATCAGCTGTTTCCCTCCCAAATGGAAAAAGGAAATAATAAAAAAAGTTATTTTTAGGGTTTTTCCGCACCGGGTTGCACACAACCTGTCCCATTCTTTTTGCATGACCAGCAAGCACAAAGAATTGTGCAATTCATGTTGGAACTGCAATTCACACTAGTCAACTGTTAAGAATCAGAATAGAAAACACAGAGCAGCAGCAGCAAATGAAAGAAGAAAAATGGGGAGATTGTATTTATTTACTGAAACAAGAAGAAATGCAAGGAGAGACTCTCTCCCTACCCTCAGAGCCTGGCTCCGTTGAAGAACCTTAGAGGCTCTCCATTCTTACAAATTGGCTAACTGCAAAAGATACCCCTCTAAACAAATTATTCTCCCATATAACAAACGATTCTCTCTCTCTTTTGGCATAACTAACTAGTCAGCTCACCGTCTTTTCCACCCACATTTCCCATGCCTCTCTTTTTCTTTCTCACATAAACTACCCACAGTTTTGGGCCAGGTCCACTATTTTGCACTAGCAACTCATTAGGCCCAAATGCACGTTGGTCTCTAACATCAACTGTGATTCCAGCAATACATGTTGCAATTCAACCCCATTTCCAATTCACAGTGTGATTTGCATAACTAGGGGTGACTTGTGTTGAATTACATGTATTGTATGGTAAATCATATTATGCTAACAACACTGTTCTATAACTTTATTAACAAATAACTTTGCCATGTGTTAGGAAACTCGAAGAAAATAAAATGGAAACTAGAGAAGAGGATTTAAAAAGAAGCAGGACTTTATTGAAGAACAGAACAGAAAATGAAGAATAAAATTCACCCCAAGGGTTTCCACTTGACAAAGTATTTCTCCTTTCCCAAAGAGCTAAAGCTCAATTTACAAATGTTAACCAATCTGAATGTCTTTCCCTTATGTCATCCTATTTATTTACTTCACAAATCCCCTCTAATTAACTAATCCATTCCACTAATTAACAACAATAACTACCTCAACTAACTTTCCCTTCCCTCTCTCCTAGCTCCAAACAATACCACCCTTTGAATTTCAACCTTGCCCTCAAGGTTGGAATTATGGAAGATCATATCTGGTGGCTTCAGGTGTGGTGGAGGCATAGTTGGCTTTTGTATGATCCCATTATCCATGGTTGCTAAATGAAGATTTTGATCCTGCTGCTCTGGCAGCATTGACTGGCTGATCAGATTTTTTGAAACTGTAGTTGGTCGATTTCTTGTTCCAAAATTTTCATGGATGAGTAGTCTGTATCACCAAACTTTGCAGTATCCTTAATTGTTACAGTAAAAAATATTCACCCAATGGTTTTTGTGCCGGCAGTAATAGACTGACCTGTTTTCTCAAGATCAAGACCCAAATTTTTTTGATATCAAAATGTCCTTCCACCCATCCTGATCACTGTGTAGGAATCTTTCTCCATCTCAACCCTTTTATTGACACCAAGACATTACCTGGATTGCATGGATTTTTGTCTCATGGTAACAAGATCCTTTTGTAGTTCTGTTGTCCTATAAGTCAAATTTGAATTTTGAAAATACTGGTCAGTTTCTGCAACTTCACCTTTGACATCTACCATGATCTCCCCCATCATCTTCTCAACCTCAGCAACTTTCTTTGAATCTTGGTCTCCAACAACCAGCTCCCCATCTCTAGAACTTTTAACAGAAATGTCTACATCCAGGGAAAATTCTGCATTCAGCGGTTTCAACAATGGCAGTGGGCTGACTGGCTCTTCCTCCAAGAAAACAATCCCCTTCTCTGAGTTCAAGAGTTCCAATGATCACCTTGTCATGATCTGGTCCAATACTTCATTGTATTTTTCTGTTTCTGTTTCTTGATCTAACACAGAGGTAAGGTATTTCCCTTTTGTTTCCACCAGTTTTCAGCAACCAAAGGCAGCTAACCGCACCTTTCTTTTAAAGAATGAACCTCTATTATCACAGCATTTGCCTCAATCCCTTCCATGCTCTTCTTAAAATGTTTGACTAAATGGGGATCAACCTCCTCTTGAATGGGTTGGACATTTGAGACCTTGTCCTTCAACATGATGCCTTGTTTATGCTTCCACCTTTTCAGGCATTGGTTGAGCTCTTGTATTTCCTCAACCTTCTTGATTGCAGAGGGCTTCACCTCCTCCCTTTCCTCATCTCTCACCCTTTTCTCCTCAAAAATGATTTCTTCTGTTAGACCTCAGGAACCACAGGATGCAAAGAGGACTTTGAAAGTGTATTATAGGAAAAGGGGTAACAATAGGAATTAAATCTATTTTATCCTTTGACCTATTAGTTAGGATTTCTGTAGGAGTGAGTTAGTTTTCTGTTTTAAGGGATAAGGGTGGCTTGTTAGTTTTTAACAAAAGTTGGTTACACCAACCTTCTTTAAATAGGGCCTCTGTTTAGGAAGAGAGTGGGGGATTCTTTTTTGTGTACTTGTTTTCCTGAAATTCTATAAACTCAGGGACGAATAAGGCCCTTTTGCTCTCTGACATCTCAGAAATCCTAACATCTTCACTCTTTAGTACCTTGTGCAGACCATGCTTCAATTATGAAAAACAAGCCTTGCAAGAATGATGCTGCAACTCCCAAGATTTACCTTTCTCGTTCATGAACACCTCCTTCAATTACCCCTTTTGTTGTGGTTTAGTTTCTTGTTTCTTCTCCAACTGCATCAACATTCGCTTAAGCTCAAATAGATAGCTGGTCCCCTTCAGGAATGTCATCAAATTCTCCATTTCTTCTTGGTGTGAGATCCAGCAGTTTCCTCACCCAGAATTAGCATCCGGCAGGTCAGACCAATTGTTAGGAATCCAAAGAAAATAAAATGGAAACTAGAGAAGATCTAAAGAAGAAAAACTTTACTGAAGAACAGAATAGAAAATAAAGAATAAAATTCTCCCCAAGAGTTTCCCCCTTCACAAAGGATTTCTCCTTTCACAAAGAGCTAAAGCTCAATTTACAAATGTTAACATATCTGAATTCCTTTCCCTTACATCTTCATCCTATTTATTTAATTCAGAAATCCCATCTAACTAACTAATCCATTCCCCTAACTAACTACAATAACCACCTCAACCAACTTTCCCTTGCCTCTCTCCTAGCTCCAAACACCATGTCACCCACAAAAAGGAACAGGAAAACAAGAAACCTCTTAACTCAAAAATCACTAAATTTGAGTTACTAAAAAGAAATTATTAAAACTTCTCACTTCTAGTTCTAGACAACCCTAACCAATCAACTGTTACCCATGGCTGATTTCAAGTTACAAAGAGGAGCACCAACAGTAATCTTTCATCAATTATAATCCTTTCAGTGCTGTGCTTTGCTATAAGGTATATATAAGCATAGCATTTAACATCATATCATTATAACATAACCATCAAAAGACATAATTCTGTATGGGACTAGGGGATCATAATAGAACAACTGATAACACAATTAATCATCAACTCCAGCCAAAAATACATGAAGAATTCAATAGCAACAGAAACTTTTTACTCTCTGAAATTAATATTTCAGTTTACAATATAGCAAAACAGTTTCTCACAACAATTATCTAAACCTATTGCAATGATAACAATATATGCTTCTGGTTTGTAGATATTAAACCAATGGCACTCTCATCTATTTACTAGATCAATTAGTTGAAAAGGAGAGATCAAATGATGTAAAACCTGAAAAATTTCCCTGACGAATCTTTGCTTTGAGGTTGTACAAGTGCCTTGGTGTTGACTGCAGTTCTGGATTGCTTTGCTTGAGAGCTTTAAGCACTTGACGTGGTTTTATACCAGCTTCAGTCATTAGTTTGATTTGTCTCACTTCTTCCTCAGTGAAACGTCGACTATAAGGATGTTCTGATATGTCTTTCAATGGTTCATGATTGTGCTCTCCATTTTTTATAGTAAGCACCCATACATCATCTTCCTTTTTACCTATGGCTTCAAAAGGACAGTTTATAAGGCGTGAAGTTGCTTTCCTTTTGCGCTTACTTTCATCAATTTTGCGTCTATTACGATAGACACCTCCTCTGTCACAGCCAAGGATAACTCTTCTATCCTTTCTGGACTTCTTGATGGTCACAACATATCCTTGATTAGCACCAAAATCACGAACATGTTTAATGAGATCCTCACGGTTTTGGAAAGTACCAAGCGGTGGAGGAAGCATTCTTTTTAAAACTTCTGTAGGCTCTGATTGATTTTGAGCCTCCATGAAATATGCCAAAATCAGGATCCTAAGTCAAATTAACAAAGTAGATGAAAAAAGCAGTCAACAATAAGGGCAATACAAAAGCTTATCTTCATTTTTAGACACCATGCATCAGTATCAAGTATACAAGGCAACAAAAATACAGATGTCTCCTACAATGGAAGGTTACTCCTAAGATTTGCAATAAGATGGTCATCTAATGAAAACAAATTATTGACACCCAATTTTCATCATCAGCAGCAGAGCATTGTAAATAACTAAACCTTACACAGATCCCAGTCATAAAAGTGTCCAACATAAGAGCTAAGAGTCCAAAACAGTTTCACACGAGCCTACATCACAGTGCCATAAACAAATTTTATGATTTTAGCACTTTTAGCACAATGAAGTTCTTAAGACGATAAGTTATAGCCACATGTTTGTGCAGTGTGCACCAAAACCATCTAAGAAAGAAATGTTGCAGCAAAATACTACAAATAATACATGTACATACAAAAATAAAATTCCAAGGCACTTGTACACTCTCATCTATATACTTTTGGTCCCTCCCACAAAATATATCAAATTTTAATTTTGGTCCCTATAAAACGATCTTTTTTGTTCCATACCTTTTGAAATTTGTCGGTTTTGGCCCCTCTCACTTATATGACTTCACCAAAAAACATGTAGCACAAACACAAGGCAACATCTAAGCTAGTCACATCATCATTTAACAGTGATTAGGGACAAAAACCAACAATTTTCAAAAATTTAGAGACTAAAATAAAAATAATAATAATAATAATAATTTCTACAGGACCAAAATTAAAATTGAGTGTATAGCTACATGTTTGTGCAGTGCATGTTTGTGCAGTGTGCACCAAAACCATCTAAGAAAGAAATGTTGCAGCAAAATACTACAAATAATACATGTACATACAAAAGTATAATTCCAAGGCACTTGTACACTCTCATCTATATCTTTTTGGTCCCTCAAAATATATCAAATTTAATTTTGGTCCCTATAAAAATATCTGTTTTGTTCCATACCTTTTGAAATTTGTCGGTTTTGGCCCCTCTCACTTATGTGACTTCACCAAAAAACATGTAGCACAAACACAAGGCAACATCTAAGCTAGTCACATCATCATTTAACAGTGATTAGGGACAAAAACCAACAATTTTCAAAAATTTAGAGACTAAAATAAAAATAATAATAATAATAATAATTTCTACAGGACCAAATTAAAATTGAGTGTATAGCTACATGTTTGTGCAGTGCATGTTTGTGCAGTGTGCACCAAAACCATCTAAGAAAGAAATGTTGCAGCAAAATACTACAAATAATACATGTACATAAAAAAGTATAATTCCAAGGCACTTGTACACTCTCATCTATATCCTTTTGGTCCCTCAAAATATATCAAATTTAATTTTGGTCCATATAAAACGATTTTTTTTTGTTCCATACCTTTTGAAATTTGTCGGTTTTGGCCCCTCTCACTTATGTGACTTCACCAAAAAACATGTAGCACAAACACAAGGCAACATCTAAGTTAGTCACATCATCATTTAACAGTGATTAGGGACAAAAACCAACAATTTTAAAAAATGTAGAGATTAAAATAAAAATAAAAATAATAATAATAATTTCTACAGGACCAAAATTAAAATTGAGTGTATTTTGATGAACCAAAAATGAACCAAAAACATGTATAACCCTAATATTTTCATTTCAAAATTTTAGATTACCACCAACTTTGCTCTTGGTGCAATTACACCCAAAACTTTCGAAACATGCAATTTATTCAAATTATTTGTAATAATGTGATATTTCCAAATTATTCAGGTATCAAAGAACTAATAAATTTTGTTAATCATGTGCATGTATTCTAACTACTAATTAATAAGTGTACAGATAAACATTGTGAATTCCCAACCCCTTTGTCGACTGAAACTCCATTATCCTGGGCTCTAGGCAAAGAGATTCTGGTGAAATTATCTTATAACAAATTGAAATTTAAAGAATTAGAATCTTAAGCAACAGTTATTTTAAAAACAGCACACCACAACAAAAGAAAGAAAGCAGGAACAACACACACACACAATCACATAAACATGGCCATGGTGCTTAAGGTTAACCAAACACACTCCTCTTGAAAAGAGCAACATTAACAGTATATGAGAGTAAAAGAGAGCATGATATGTCTCACCTGATCACCAAAGAAACCAACAAGTAAGTTTAACTCCAAGATTGCTCCTCAAAGCCTCAACGTAAAAACAATACCTAGGACTGTCAGAGGCAAAGAAACAAAAAATACTGATATAAAATCATGAAAAATAGGCCCTCATTAATCAGAATCAAATTTTTAACTGGTAATCAATCTTCAGGAAACAGATAAATAATGCCTAAACGAAGTTCCTTCCTTCCCAGATACCATAAGGGTAAAATAATCACTGTGAATCAAAGAATTCAATCCAATACATGAATGCTTCAAATAATATTTCTTTTTTTCTTTAATCTTTGTGACACAGTAAATGGCACACCTTAGAGTGAGGAACTTGTCCAGTTTGACTGATAAGAAAATACATGTACGAAAGAAAGTGAGGGAAAATTTTGAAGGTTTTGTCCACAAAATGGATGAGTATGCCCACTAGTTTTGATAACCAGCAACAACCCTTTTGTCTCTCTCTCTCTCCTCCCTCTCTTACTTGATTAAGATTTCTTACTCGAAGGACCAAAGTGGATGCGCGTGAATGTGACAGTTCGCTGTTTCTGAAAACGGACATATAAAGTGACGTCGTTTAAAAGTGTATGTGTTTCACGCGCCAAGGAACGTGTGAGAGGATTTGCCAAGGAGAGAGTGGCAGCAGCATTGTATTTTTCTTCCTATTAAACGCTGAGATGAGATAAGTGTATTTTTTTATAGAATATTTGAAAATGTTATATAACAAAATATAAGTTTTGAGAAGAATTACAAAGAAATATGGACTCAAAAAATTATTATTGGAAATTTTAATATAAAATTAGTTAAAATCAATAATTTCAATTATAATTTTTTACAAAAAATTGTTAATTTTAAGTTTGACTAATTTTATATAAAAATTATTAAAAAAAATATACAATAAGTGTGTCTTTATCGAATTGAAAAGAAGACATGGCGTGATCAAGGTTGTTAGTACCGGCTGCTTGCCGTACATTGCATTTGATCCTCTAAAATTTGTAATTTAAGTTTTTTAATATTATGCTAATTTTCAGAAAAGTTCCCTGGTGTCATTCACCTTTGGGTTCTCTAAATCTGATTTTGCTTTTTAACAAATGTCATAATTTTTTTAAGCTATTTTTATTTTTTTGTTTTTTGCTTCTTCTTTTTTGTCATATTTGTAGTCAACGTTGAGTAGCACCATTTTTGACAATTTCACTTTTATTCACTTTATAGTTTACACACTCGCATTTTGTGTAATAAATTTTCGATACTTTCGCGGTCATTATTTTTATTTAGTAACTTTTTTATTTTTAAATTTAAAATAAGTTAAATTAAAAAAATAATCATATTAGTATTGTAATTTTAAATATATATATATATATATATATATATTTTCTAACCGTGTCAAAAATAAATTTATCTTATAGTAGTATCCATTTTATAAAAAGAACACAATATGCTTGTGACTTAAAATATTTATAAAATATATAATTAACATAAATAATTTTACATAAATAAAGTTTAAGGTGTTTAAGTGTGTTTAAATTAATGTCAAATTCATTCAAATGTAAATTTATTTGAGCATTACAGATTATAATTTTTATGTTAAAATATAATTTTAATTAATTTCTAAAAAACACACAAAATATTAAGAATTAAGATAAATTAGCAAGTCAAAGATTTGATGAAAACATTTAAAATACATTCAAATCAAAGGAGGGCATATGGAAATGACATGGAACATGGTCCAACTAATAATCAAAACCCAAGATAGATTCAAAATACAATAATGAAAAAAAAAAAAAAAAACCAGCATCAAATTAAATCTTAAATGCATCAAAGAATTCCAATCAAAGCTTTGACATAAAGATATCGAAGAGGTTTATTAGAAGGATTGGGAGTCTACGGTATCTAGATGGGAACCTAGATGGGAACCGAGAACCAAATTACAATTTTTTTTATTTTTTTTATTTACTTGCTAATGATCACCTTACAAATTTAGCGAAGTAACATGTCCAACGTGTTACAAAGTACAAATCAATGTCGTCTATTAAATATTCATTATATCTAATGGTTGATATTAGTTGTGTACGGGTAGCATACACTATGAAGTGCTATATCTTAGACGCTAGCTAATGGCTGTCTTATACAGGAATGTATTATAAGTACTCAATTTATAATTTTTTTTTTAACAATGATAACTTTGATATTATGTTTCATTGTTTTTTAAGTATATTTTAAGATTATATGTATGTAAAAAACAAAATACAAATATTATATATATATATATATAACATAATATATATATATATATATATAATATAAATTTTAATTATTTAAATGATAGAATTATTTATTTCAAATTCAGCTAAAAAAAATATGATCTTAATATTTCTTTTAAAATTTGTTTAGAATATAGGATAAAAGATAAGATATGATAATTTTTTTTCAAAGATATTTTATTGTTTTATCCTTTTCTTTACAAATAAGATAATACAAAACACTTAATACATTTTTAGTCTTTACATTTTAGTAATTTTTTTATTTTATTCCATCTAAACAAATTTTTTTATTTTAGTCCTATATTTAATAAATTTTAATTATAGTGCATTTAATTGATATGATTCCACTAAAAACTAACATTTAGCATCTATATTTTGGGAGAGCCAAAGATTTTGTAAATTTGATAGAATGCAACAATAATTGGAGACAGTAGGAAGGTTGAGGAAACAATTTCAATGGTAATAGAGTTCAGTGTTATGAATTTCATTACAAAGGTAAGAAATAAGCATACTTTATATTTGGTATTTATAATTCTCTTTAGTATTCTAATTTCATATAATTTTATGTGAATAATTTTTACTTATATTATATGCTCATCAACAATTCAAGCTAATCCAAACACTAATTCAAATTAAATCTCATCTCAAAAATTTCACTTTTGGATTCTAGACACTTGAACAACTTATTGTGAAAAGTCATCAAATGATTCCATCGTTATAACATGGTATGCTTCTTATGATATCCTACATTAAACATCATGCCTTGAAACTTCAAATAGAATTTCATATTAGTAAAAAAGCATATCCTAAATGTTACTTGTCTTACATGCAATTCATTTGATTAATAAATTTCTCAACAATGTTTGAACCAATAAAACCAAAATAATTGACCTATAAAATAGATTGCCATATACAATTTTGATGTATGAACAATCATTAAAACTTAGATAAATTTTACATTATTATTTAATGAATTTTAAATAATATTCTAAGTATTTTAGTTTGAATATATTTTTAAAAGAACTTAAAAAATTGAATTAAGAAAATAATGCATATATCAACCTACAATATACTTAAGAAATAAAGAAATATCACATATTGATAGTTTGCAGAGAGGAATATTTAATGAATCTAACTACTGATAAAAGATATGAATTTCTCCTACTCCTCTCCTCCATTTCTCTCTTAAAGAAAATAAAATCATACTTATTTAGTAAAGATAACAGTAATTTTTTTAGATATTTTACATGTTAAATGCATTATTTATAGAAAAATAAAAGGAAGAGTTTTAAGAAAATACTTTTGCAAAAATGGAAGCACAATGTTAGTATGAAATTTTTTTAGAAAAGGTATATTATATGTCCAACGGATACAAGGTTGTCTCTAACATAGCGAAGAGATCTGGATCTATAAAATAGGATGAATAATCATGTTAAAAACAAGAGATGTTAACTTGAAATATTCTCATTACAAAAAGTCTTTGTAGCTTTTTACTCTCAAACTTTGTTAAAACCATATTTTCTTAATTTTTAAGTTTCTTAAATGTGTGATTTAAGATCTGGTTATAAAATTACTTAAATTTGAGCCTAAAAAGGCTTATGGAATAATCTTTGAAGAGTGAAACATTTTTAATACACAAAGTACTTCATAATAAAAATATTGACAAATTATTAAGAACTGAATAGCCTTAAAGTTATGGAGTGAATCAGTATAAATTTTTGTTTCTTTTTCTCTAATTCCTATTATTGTTTGCACTAACTCAAAAGAATTTCTAAATTAAATATTTTTTAATGATATTTTTATTAAACTTATGGTCCATTTTTTTAAAAAAAAATAACAATTATTGAACAATAATCATATCTTTTGTTTTATATTCTCACTTTCATAAATAATAAATCACCCTATGAACTATTAAATGTTAATCCAACAACATTCTTAAATTTTAAAGTATGTGATTCTTTATGCTTTATTTTAATCATCACTTAGCACATAACTAAACTTGATCCAAAAGTTCCATAGTGCACATATTTTTTAAAAAAATTTGGTAGAAAATAATGAAAGGCAAGGTGTTGCAAAACTTTCTAAAATGTATATATATTCTCAGTTCTATGTTTACAAGAGGTTTTGTACATATTTATAGATGCAATACAAGGTAACAATATATAAAAGGAAAAAATATTTAGAACAGTTTATGGTCATTGATTAATTTAATCCCATGAATCAAGGCAAGGCATTGGTGCAGATTGTCTTCCAACGGTTTACTTGGATTATCTTTTCCTGATGCTGTAATTGTGGGATCTACACTATTTGGGAAATCTTTACTATTCTTAACACCCCCTCCCTCAAGGTTGGTAGTGAGGAAGGATGAACGCCAAGTTTGGCACAAAAAGTAGCAAAGGAATCATTGCACAAAGCTTTAGTAAACACATCAGCAATTTGGTGAGTTGTAGGTATGTAGCGGAGTTGGAGGTGACCTTTGCACGAATGAAGTGATAATCAATTTCAATGTGTTTTATACAAGCATGAAGCACTAGATTATGAGACAGGTGAATAGCACTTTGGTTGTCACAAAATAGCAGGGGACAACATTCAAGAGTGATGACAAGGTTAAAGAAGAGATATTGAAGCCACGTGAGTTCAGCAGCTGTGGTTGCTAAGGACCTGTATTCAGCTTCAGTGCTAGAATAGCACTACCTTTTATGTATCACAAAATGCATTTGACAACACGAAGATCCTTTTTGGTTGGATTTTGAAAGTGTTAGCACACAAGATTGACAGCATGTGTGATGTCCGGTCTAGTGAAGGTAAGATATTGGAGAGAACCACACAGTTGACGATACTTGGTAGGATCCACAGGCTCATAATCATCATGAAGTTTAAGTGCTTTGTGAGCAATTGGAGTGGAGATCTTTGAGGCTTCTAGCATATTGGCTTTGGCCAAAAGGTCTCGCGCATGTTTCACTTGGAAAATTGTAAGACCGCTAGAGAAGTAACGAACTTCAAGTCTAAGGAAATAATGTAGTTGGCCAAGGTCTTTGAGAGCAAATTCCTGATGGAGTCATTGAGTAAGATCAGAAATAAAAGCTGGAGTATTGCCAGTAATGATAACATCATCTACAAAGACAAGTAAAAGAGTGAAGTTAGTGTCATGACGGTAAATAAAAAGTGAGGAATCTACTTTACTGCATATAAATCC